CATTTCCAAGACCTGAAAAAAAATAATATAAATAGTAGGGTGAGCATAAAGCTCAGCAGGTGACACTTAAGACACACATCTTGTGTCCTTGTGAATCCAAACAAAGCATAGGCCAATGGGAAATGGGGATCATACAATGTTGGGAAATAATACAGCATAACGATTTAATCTCAAGTATATCCAATGAAATGCAATGAGATGCAATGCATGCTAGTGTCGCTCCCCATTTTCATAATCCAAAACATCGTTTCTAAACTGTTAATACAGCCCGCCCTTTGGTAGTCCCGCCGCGACACGAGAGGAGGATTGGCTAGTGTCCCTGACCCTTGGTAACCCCGCGGAGTCATTATGGGGCCCAGCTAGCTCAACCACGCTAAGGCGACTCCCTAGTCCCCTCTAAGCTATATTAACCTCCAGCCCATTAGTAACCCCGCATCGACCGAGTTTCACATAAAACCATTTCATCAAAAACACATCCCTAAAATTCCCCATATTTATTTCAAGAACAATTTCCCCCATTTCATGCAAACCCAATGGTATGTGCATGTATATATGTTCCATACATTCAATGTCATGGCATTTAAAATTCTACACCATAAAATTAAACATTCAACATGTTCAACATCTCCCAAGTAATTATTAACACATTAAGATACAACAAAATACATTTAAGCATGCTTTACAGATAAAACAACTCACATTCATACACATGAATTTCTCTAGACAACATTTAAAATAATCATTGATACAATTAACTTCTAATTAAGCATGCTTGGCACAACAAAGGAGTATAACTCACAATGGAACAAGGAGGTAGTGGATTAAGGTGTCCCTACCTCAAATTTGCACAAAACCCTTAAAATGGGTCTTGAATTTCGAACTCCAAGGAGAGTACCAAATCTGGAATTGTTCGTATGGATGCGTAGAGCTCGTTGTAGGCTTCGTTTTCCCTCAAACAGCACCTTAATCTGATAAGAGATGAGAGAGAAATTAAGCCTTGAAGCTTTGAAGAACAAAAAAAAAGAAAAGAAAAGAGAGCTACTAGACGAGAGAGAGAGTGATACGCAGAGAGGAAGAGATAAGTCATTATATTGGCTTATAATTCATGTGGGCCCCACAGGTGAATAAAATTTTATTTAACTTTAACATATATATATATATATATATATATATATATAAAGTCAAAACATTACATTCTCCCTAACTTTAAAAAATATTTCGCCCCCGAAATCAAGCCATACCTGAGAGAGAAAACAATTCTGGATACTTGGGGCGAACCTCCTATTCGAGCTCCCAAGTAGCCTCCTTGACTCTGTGGTGTCTCCAAAGGACTTTCACCATTGGTATCGTCTTGTTCCTCAACACCTTCTGTTGTGTGTCAAGAATCTGAACTGGTCATTCCTCGTAGGAAACATCCTCATCAATGTCTACATCAACCCAACTCAAAATGTGAGATGGATCTGGCTCGTACTTCCGTAACATTGATACGTAAAAGACATTGCGGACCCTGTCCAACTGTGGCGGCAAAGCAAGTTTGTAGGTAACCTCTCCTACTCGGTCCAAAATCTCAAATGGTCCAATAAATCGTGGCGACAACTTGCCACTTTTCGCAAATCTCATCAATCCTTTCCATGGAGAACCCGTAGAAAAACGTGGTCTCCCACCTCAAAAGATAACGGCCGTCTCCGCTTATCCGCATAACTCTTCTGTCGGCTCTGAGCTATAAGTAACCTCTGTCTTATCAACTTAATCTTTTAAATAGTCTCGAGTACAGTGTCTGGTCCTAAGGCAACTGTCTCGCCTACCTCAATCCAACAAATAGGAGACCTACAAGGATTACCATACAACGCCTCAAATGGAGCCATCTGAATGCTTGCCTGATAACTGTTGTTGTAGGCAAATTCAATAAGTGGAAGGTGATCTTCCCAACTACCACCCAAATCAAGCACACATGCCCAAAGCATATCCTCCAAAATCTAGATAGTACTCTCCGACTGATCGTCAGTCTGTGGATGGAATGCCGTACTCAGATGCAACGCTGAGCCAAACGCTACTTGAAGTCCTTCCCAGAACTTCGAAGTGAACTTGGCATCGCTATCTGAAACAATAGTTACTGGAACTCCATGCAATCTTACAATCTCCTTCACATAAAGAACACCAAGCTTCTCTGCATCATCTGTTGCCTTAATAGGCAAAAAGTGAGCCGTCTTAGTCAATCTGTCAATGATGACCCATACGGCCTTATTGCCCCTCCATGACGATATGTTCCCATTTCTACTGCGCTACAGGCAATGGTTGCAATAAACTGGCTGGTCTCTAATGCTCGGCTTTCACCTCCTGACAGGTAAGGCATCTAGCCACAAACTGTGCAACATCTTTCTTCATCCCGTTCCACCAATACTGACGTCTCAAATTGTGATACATCTTGGTACCACCTGGATGAACTGTAAAGCAGGAAGTGTGAAACTCCTGTAAGACGTCCTCATAATAAACCGTAGGAACCACCAATAAACCCCTGAACCGTAGACCCCCATTTGCATGCAAGGCCCAATCTTTCACTGTCTCACCACTGGAGATCAAAGCGTGAATGTTATCTAAATCCGGGTCCTGTCTCTGTGACTCAATCACTAGTACAACAAGAGTAGGCTGAGCCACAAGACTAAACAAGAATGCTGGCTCACTGTCAACATCGTCATCAAAACAATACAATCCTATCTCTGCCAAATCCTTAAACATAGTTCTACGGGATTTCCGGCTTAAAGCATCTGCTACCACATTTGCCTTGCCTGGATGATACTGTAAGTCAAAATTGTAGTCCTCCAATAATTCAACCCATCTTCTCTGTTTATTGTTCAAGTCCTTTTAGGAGAAAATGTACTTGAGACTTTTATGATTCGAGTGCACCTCGAATCTCTCACCATACAAGTAATGTCTCCAACATTTCAAGGCAAATACAACTACCGTTAACTCCAAATCATGAGTAGGGTAGTTAAGCTCGTGAGTCTTCAACTGTCGAGACCCATAAGCTACTATTCTACCATCCTGCATCAACACACATCCCAAACCATCACGGGAAGCATCACAATATAACACTTAACCCAAGCCACGCTCAGATATCACCAACACTGGAGCTGTAGTCAATCTTGTCTTCAATTCCTGAAAAGATAACTCACAGGCTTCATTCCACGTAAACTTTATCCCTTTCCGGGTCAAACGGGTCATAGGAGCTGCCAAACGGGAAAAATCCTTCGCAAATCTCTGATAATAACCCGCTAGGCCAAGGAAACTCCGAATCTCAAAAACATTCTTGGGTTGCTCCCAATTCAAAACTGCTTCAACCTTTGACGGATCTACTGACACTCCACCTTCTGAAACAATATGCCCCAAAAATTTCACCTCCTGTAACCAAAACTCACATTTCTCATATTTGGTATACAATCGGTGCTCCCGCAAAATCTGTAAAATAATACTTAAATGGATCTCGTGCTCCTCCTGAGATCGTGAATACACAAGAATGTCATCCACGAAAACTATCACAAACCGGTCCAAGTAATCGTGAAAGACTCGGTTCATTAAGTCCATGAATGTCGCTGGCGCATTAGTCAAGCCAAAAGGCATAACAAGGAACTCATAGTGTCCATACCGTGTACGGAATGCTGTCTTCGGGATATCCTCATCCCTAACCCGCAACTGATAATAGCTAAACCTCAAGTCAATCTTCGAGAAACAACTGGCTCTCCTCAACTGATCAAATAAATCATCTATCCTTGGCAAATGATACTTATTCTTGATGGTGGCACGATTCAACTTCCGGTAATCAATGCACAACCTCAAAGAACCATCTTTCTTCTTGGTAAACAAAACCGGTGCACCCCATGGTGACACACTCGGTCGGATGAAACCCTTCATCCTCAAATCATCAAGCTGCCTTTTTAATTCTTCTAATTCAACTGGTGACATATGATACGGTGCCATAGAAATCAGCGCGGTACCTGGTATTAACTCAATAAAGAACTCCACTTCTCGGTGTGAAGGCAACTATGTCAAATCCTCTGGAAACACATCCAGAAAATCACGAACAACTGCAGGATAATCTTCTTCCACAACATCATCCTCTTTGGCTATAAGGCTAGCCAAAAAGTAATCACCACAACTCTGTCCACGAATTCCATAAAACGATGAAATGTGGGAATCACTCCGATCTCCCACGAAAAAGAAACAGTCTCCCTCGGGAGTACAAACTGTAACCCTTCCTTTGTAACAGTCGATCGTGGCATGAAAGGAAGCTAACCAATCCATCCCGAGAATGGCATCAAAGCTAGTCATCTTCAGGAGGATAAAGTCAAACACAAAAGTCCGCCCGGCTATCACAATGGAACAGTCCCTCACGACTCAGCTCAAAGACACTGAAACTCCAACTGGCGTATCAACACACAACGCCCGATCCATAAAACTAACCTCTAACCCCGATGTAAGTGCAAATGATGATGAAATGAAAGAATGAGATGCACCAGAATCAAACAAAACACGGGTCCAAGAACCAAACATTGGAAATATACCTCAGAGAACTGAAGATCCAGGAGATACATCAGTCAGTGCAAGGGCAAAGACACGCCCCTACGGTGCCTGTGCGTGTGAACTACTAATCTGAACACCAGACTGTTGTGCCGACATAGTAGGAGTATCCCTCCTAGCTGGTCGTGAACCATAAGAAGACAAGGCAGGCTGTGATGGTGGCAATGGTCTGAAACTTGATTGAACCGTAACCGACTGTGACGGCCTCTGCCACTAGTGGTGCCTGCTCCCTGACTCGGACAGTCCCAAATCAAATGGCCCTACTGGCCATACCCATAACAAGCCTTCGGAGCTGAACAAACTGAAGTCAATCTCATAGGACAATTGGACTTGTAATGTCCAGGCTGCTGGCACTGAAAGCAAACAACTACACTCCTATCAGACCCAGCTGGCAACGGAGTGGTAGGAGCAGACCTTGCAGACTGCTACCCCTGAAACTGAAATGAACCACTCTTGTTCCTCTTCCAAGAAGATCCCTCTGAAGATGGCCCTGTACCCCTCTTTTGCTTCAACTGTTCTCTTCTTGCATCCTTCTCTTTATTATCAGCCTCCAACATCAAAGCCCTTTCCACTGCTTCAGAATAAACCTTAATGAACTATTCCGTGATCAACGGCCTCATCCGATCATTAACACCAGAAACAAACTTCAGAGTCTTGTTAACTTCATCTCTCACCATTTTTGGAGCAAAGCGAGAAAATGAAGTGAACTTGTTCTCATATTCCGCCACTGACATGCTCCCTTGAATAAGGTTATGAAACTGGTCTTGTAACTCCCATCTTTTGGAAAGCGGAAAGTACTTTTCATAAAACAATTCCTTAAACTTGTACCAACTCATCTCTTCCACCTTGTACCGGGTCGTAACCGACTTCCACCATAGTTTGGCATTCTTAGCAAACTTATAAGTAGCTAGGATGATCTTCAAATGATCCTCCGTCGTATCCATAGAAGTCAATTGAGTTTCAACTTGCTCCATGTAGTCATCTTCTATCATTGGATCCGCACTACCCTCAAACATAACCGGCATCAGTTGAGAAAACCCCTTAATAATCTTGAGACGCTTCTGAGCTGGCATCTCCTCAACTTGAACTGTAGATTGTGGTGCCGACCGCGACTGAGCAGCAATCGTTACCCTCACGGCATTTTGCAACAAACGATTCAATTCCAATGCCACAGAATCTTCACCCACTTCTACGGGTGCTTCAACATTATCCCTCCTTGTGGGGACAACTCTCGGGAGAATCAAGTCCCTAAGAAGTGTGTCCTCATCATTTAGCTCCTCTGGATTGGAGTTGGAGCTCTCGCCAACATCACCCCTAGTCGGCCTGGAGCCAACTTCCCTTTGTTCCTCACGCCGTGACATCGTGCTACAAAACGAGAAAACGGTTCAATGACATAACACTAAAGTCCACTATAGACAACTCAATGTGAAATGATGTCGTAATAACACTTAGCATGCAAAACCATGCAAGAAACATTTTACCATAGACATTCAAGCACGTAAGCACATAAGTAGTTAAGTATGCTTGTTCAAGTAATAAGCAAGTAGTAAATAGTCAATACACAATGAAATCAACATCCCATGCAATCCCATGTGCACTGATACCAAATTTGTAACGACCCAAGCTGATGCCAAAATTTTAAAAAAAAATTCGGCATAACCTCCCCTAAAAATGTTCCTTCAACAACCTGTCCCAATACACAAAACACATAATATACTCTAGCATCCCATTCATCCGTTCATTATACCTCATCATAGTTCCTCTCATGGTAGAACATCCACACACCAATTAATCTAAATTATCATAATTACAGTCCCAAAATACATGGTTAAGATTTAAAGTCCCTGTCTTATAACATTACATGATACAATTGCATGGAAATATATACCATAATTCCATTAGTTTCATTTACATCAAACAAAAGATAAGTTCGTTCTTAAATTACAAAGCCATGACTACTAACTTAGTTACATTTCCACAACTATGAATATACATAGAACGGTCAAAATATGAAATAGCAAACAACCTTCTAACAACTTTCAAGCTTGAGGTGGATTGTCGTCCACCGGTTCATTTCCAAGACCTGAAAAAAAATAATATAAATAGTAGGGTGAGCATAAAGCTCAGAAGGTGACACTTAAGACATACATCTTGTGTCCTTGTGAATCCAAACAAAGCATAGGCCAATGGGAAATGGGGATCATACAATGTCGGGAAATAATATAGCATAACGATTTAATCTCAAGTATATCCAATGAAATGCAATGAGATGCAATGTATGCTAGTGTCGTTCCCCATTTTCATAATCCAAAACATCGTTTCTAAACTGTTAATACAGCCCGCCCTTTGGTAGCCCCGCCGCGACACGAGAAGAGGATTGGCTAGTGTCCTTGACCGTTGGTAACCCCACGGCGTCATTATGGGGCCCAGCTAGCTCAACCATACTAGGGCGACTCCCTAGTCCCCTCTAGGCTATATTAACCTCCGGCTCGTGGGTAATCCCTCAGCGACCGGGTTTCACATAAAACCATTTCATCAAAAACGCTTCCCTGAAATTCCCCATATTTATTTCAAGAACAATTTCCCCCATTTCATGCAAACCCAATGGTATGTGCATGTATATATGTTCCATACATTCAATGTTATGGTATTTAAAATTCTATACCATAAAATTAAACATTCAACATGTTCGACATCTCCCAAGTAATTATTAACACATTAAAATACAATAAAATACATTTAAGCATGCTTTACACATAAAACAACTCACATTCATACATATGAATTTCTCTAGATAACATTTTAAATAATCATTGATATAATTAACTTTTAATTAAGCATGCTTGGCACAACAAAGGAGTATAACTCACAATGGAACAAGAAGGTAGTGGATTAAGGTGTCCCTACCTCAAATTTGCACAAAACCCTTAAAATGGGTCTTGAATTTCAAACTCTAAGGAGGGCACCAAACCTGGAATTGTTCGTATGGATGCGTAGAGCTCGTCGTGAGCTTCATTTTCCCTCAAACGGTACCTTAATCCGATAAGAGATGAGAGAGAAATTAAGCCTTAAAGCTTTGAAAAACAAAAAAAAAGAAAAGAAAAGAGAGCTACTGGACGAGAGAGAGAGAGAGAGATATGCAGAGAGGAAGAGATAAGTCATTATATTGGCTTATAATTCATGTGAGCCCCACAGGTGAATAAAATTTTATTTAACTTTAATATATATATATATATATATATATATATATATATATAAAGTCAAAAACATTACAATTTACCACAGAAGAATCACATTGACTAAACATTTGGCTAATAAATAAAGCACACTAATAACAAATTTAAATTTATGGCCGAAATATTTCAAGGAACCTCTCAATGACCCTTGACCAAGTACAAATTTTGGTACATATGAAGTCCAATTTTATTCAATAAATGGCCGACAACATTGATACTTGAGAAAGGAATCGAGTAAAACTAAATTTTAAATGTTTTGAGTGTCTTAAATTCCCAATAAACCATCCAACTGTATTTATTAATTCAACATTGTAGTCCTTAGAGGTTCATGCATAACATACCAACAAGTCTTCTCACAACATGGCCACTAGAAAGATATGGTTCTGAAAGAAACTCCCCCACCCGACCACCAACCCCCCACCAAATATATATGTGTATGTGTATATATAATATTAACGGGGGATAAAAAAAAATTTAAAATTTTTTTTAAAAAAAATCTCTGTAAAGATGAAAGATCCATACACGTTCTTCATAATTTTCAAATGCAAATTAGTGATAGAAAACCAGAAAAAGTGAATAAGATATAATCATCAAAATCTATAAATATATTTTTAGTTACCAAAGTGACTGTAATTGCAAACAAGCACATCCTTACCTTGAACTGATATTTAGCACCACAGCACTCTCCAACCACAGTGTCTTTAAGTGAAATAAAGCTTGGAACATAAGCGATTGCTTCAAATTTTAATTTAACCCCATCAATCTTAAGATATCTGAATTGTGGTCCTTCAGGGTCATAATAAATCAGAGCACTTCCAGATGAATCAAATATCAATATTGCCCCATCTTTTTGGTAACTTATTGGCTGATATAAACAATTAGATGACCTCCCATCAGGCAGGCTATTGAGAGAAAACACTTTTGTCCAAAATTGTGGAGCACCATAATTGTTCAAAACCCATACGTGAACAGAATCACAACTGGAGGAGTCACTTATGCATAGACAGCCTTCTAGTACTCCCATAGACACATTAGTGTTATCATTTTCAAGAGGCGGCAAGGGAACTGATTGGAGCTGCTCGTCGTCGAAGTTAAAAGAAACTATATGATCAGATCTTCTGCCATCATGCCATACCCAATGAAGCCCTCCATTCAGATAGGTGGGAAATTTTAGGCTATAATCTGAAATGGGACCGTCACCAATATGTTTCCATGATCATGCACCGAGTGTGTATATTTCAGCCTTCCTACCGCCCCATACTTCCATATCATTGGAATCAAGAATCCAATGACGAAACATTCTAATCACCTTGTACTAATTAGTCCTTGGACTTAAGCCGAACCCACAACCGTACATATCTTTGGCATTCTCTTCACCCCTAAAAGCCATTGGAATGTTTATATACTCACCCGTGATTGGATTAAACACAACAACAGGTTTATTACGTTTTGGTTCAGACAAGCAAAGCAAACCATTGCATGAATTCACAATTTTTAACACATAATCACTGGGGTCAAACTTGGGGCAGCGCTTCCTTTTAACCCGACTGCCTTTAGGGAGGAGGGAACGCATTTGGGCATTACGAGCTATAACTTCACGAAACATGTCAACATTGCGCAATAGGATCTTCAATTTGGTTTCAAGCTTCATGTTAACATGATGGTCACAATGAACAAAATTGTTGCACCTCTCAGGCTCAACCAAGTAAAGCAATCTTGACACAAACATTGAATTAAAGGCCGTTCGAAGCACAGCACTGGGCTCTGCCCGGGCAAAGTGCAGCTTGGCGAAATGAGGGTCAGAAATTAGACTGACCCAAGTTTTGGTTACGCACTTGCAAATGAGAATATTCTTTACAGGGAGTCTTGTCAGAATACTGACCAAAATGGGACTCGGAAGATCTGTGATCGAACAACCCAATATCTGAATTTGTTCATCGTGGGACTCATCTGCTTCTTTTTCGCCTTTCTGGGTTGAGTCTAATTTTCCTTCCATGGCTTAATTCTATAAATCTATGGAAATGGATTCGGAGGTCAGTAAAATGAGGAAAGAAGAAGAAATTGAAGACTATGAAATAGCTATGGCACAAAAAGGTAATTAGAAACAAATTAGGAACTACGAAAAAGTAACAAGAGATGGCTTAGAGTTGCCTCGAACAAAACCCTATACCAACAACAAATTAGAGAGAGAGATACCTGATGGAACAAATCTTGGCACAATTCTACAAAGAGAAATGAGAAACAAGTTGAGCGGCGGGAAAAGAAAAGGACGGGAAGATGAGAATTTCGCACAGGGTTGATTTTGGGAGCGGAAAAAATTTTTCTGCTCCTCCACGGGGTACCAACTAACGATGTTACTATTAGACTACATGAGCTAGGTGGATGAATACGATGATATAGAATTATTATTTGTATTAAATTAAATTTTAGAAATTAGTAGATTTTTTATTTTTTCACCATACAAGAAGTGTGAGAAGTTAGATTAATAGATACAGAGAATCCAAATTTTTCACTCCAATATTTACCGAAGGCACTAATTCACTAGGCCATTGGGACATCGGCTAAGAAATTGATAGATGATCCTCCACCATTTATCATTTGACAGTCCACACCAATTAAAATTAATGTTTTAGGTTATTTATAAAATATTATTCTACCCTTGCTGAGCTTTTTACTTAAGGAGAGAGTATGAATTATACTCATTGTCAAGGGACGGAGCCAACATTTCAATTTAAAGAAGGCACAGTTTAATAAAAAAAACACACACACACGCACACATGTAAAAAGAAGAATTTTAAGAAGAAAAAACAAAAGGAAGAAAAAAGAAAAAAAAAAAAAAAAAAAATTTGACATAAATTTGAATGGAAAATAAATTAGATTATGAATGGAAAATAAAAGAAATTTAAGGAATTTAAATAATAAAAGAAAGAAAAAGCTAAGATAATTTTATAAATTATATTTTAGGGGAGGCACTATATATAATTTTTCACGCATGCTTAAAAAAAAAAAAATACAAATTAATTATATATATCCTATTGGGCGAGCCAAGCCAGGGACACATGCCCCAAGCCTTAATTGATTCCGTCCCTGATGGCCATTATAATTTCTTTTTAAATCTTGAATAATGCTCAATTCAATGATGCAAGACATTGAGTGGATCAGGATGGGATAGGCTCAATTAGATTTGAATCAGGTAATGAATATTTGTGATTTTATGTGATCTGATTTGTTTTATTGATTTATTTATTTATTTATTGAGTCCATATTGATCCATTTATAATTGGTGAAATTTCCACTATGATAACTTTGAGTTACAAAGTGGTGAAATCTTTATTAAAAATTCCATTATATATGAAGAAGTGGGACACCTTCTAAAATAACACGACTTGTGAAAAGCTGAATGTGTGTGTGTATATATATATATATATTAAAATTTTGAAAAAGAGAGAAGATTGAAAATTTTGAACAAAAAGTGAAAATTTGAGAGAAGAATGTGAGGAAAAAATTGAAGGAAAAGTGAGATAATTAAGATTCTAACACCACGTGATAAACAATTATGTAATCAATATTTTGATTGATTTTTATGGAATGTTCTACAAGAGCAACTTTTCTCACAAGTGATGTTCTTACATTGTAGTCGGTGATGGATTCAGAAAATTTCGTGAGGGGGCAGCCTTTTATTTTTTTGGGACAAATTTATATAGTGGGTCCATTTATGTAATTTCAATAGAAATTTCTTCATAATTTTTTAAAAATTTAAAGTATAAAATGCAAAAAAAAATTGAACTATAAAATGAAAAAAAAAAAATCAATGGGGCCGAATTGTAATTTTAATGGGTGCATCTTCATAAATTCTAAAACCTTTGAGGTATAAAATGAAAATATTAAAAATCCAGTGGGGGCATCAGCCCTCCACTGGTCCTATGTTGGGTATTTGCCTGACTGTAGTGATATCTTATAATCTTCAGATATTATATGTTTTGATCCACCCTTATAAGTGTCAATAACTTTTCTCGGTACCCGTACACTAAGGCAATGTACTAACATTATATATTTTGTTTGTTTTGCACCCATCCCTTTATAAGTGCGTATTAGCAACTTCTCCTCTCAAGAGATGTCTCCATTGTCCGTTTTGCACCCTCTTATGGGTCTAGACAAGTAAGAGGTATTCTCCCTTAAGTGTTGTTTTGCACAGTAATATTCCTATTATAAGTGTCAACAACTTCTCCCTCGAGTGTCAACCTTGCTAGCGTAACACTCATGGGTTTGTGAGCACTCCCCCATATTATGACTGGGGATCATTTTGATAGATAATTTTTGCTTTGTATTCTCTTGGCGCTCACACTTTTCAAAAAATTGTCTTTAGAAATACAAGGCCTTCCCTCTTAGAAGTGTAGCAACTTCTCCCTCCAAAGCATGTGGGACTATCACATAAATAATACATACATTTATTTTTTATATGATAAATTACCCTTGATCGTTTGCTCTTATTACATCGGACCTATATTACACTACAACCCTCATGGACTTTAAAAAATGGATGTCGCCTATTGAAAAAAGGAAGAAAGGATGACGATTAAGCTAATGAACTTCAAGTACAACTTCAAATATCCTCATCTGACAGTTCTTCATCTTCATTCCTTTTTTTGGGGAGGATTTCATATCGTGGAATCTTCCATTTATCACATCTGACTTGATAACCTCTGTCACTTATGGAAAATTCTGACTTGATAACCTCTGTCACTTATGGAAAATTCTATCCCAATGTTAGATGCGAAGCTATATACGCAACTCTTCTAGCTAGAACGTTTCCTTGAGGATGTTGAAACAATATTTCATATTCCTCAAGTTCTGACAATTTATCAAAAAATTTCTCATAAAGTTTCATATATTCTCACGGTACATGCTTATTACAACTTATCACCTTGATAGCTTCTTTACTGTCAATTTCCAATATTATTTTCTTTGCTTCTGATCTCCATTTCGAGAATTTCATCAATCCCATCACGCACTCTAAGTAATATTACTTCATCTCTAGGTGTAACCTAGGAAGTGGCTTATTCTAAATATCCAAAATGGTTCCCTAACAATCTCAATAGTACTTCTCCACAATAAGCTTCTTTGGTCCCACCAAGATTCTCCTTAAAAAAGCCAAAAATGTTCAACTTGTACCACTCATCATCGGGTGGCGCTTTCCAAAAACACTTATTTACCGAGTGTTTTAATAAGGTCTTCGGAAAATTCTCCAAAACATAAATTTGTTGCTTAAACATGTAATTATAAATCATTCTTGTTCTTCAGGATAAATCGTATGAAACCACCACATAAAGTCTTCTATCAAGATATATATTTGGTGTGTCAGTTTAATTACCACTCGCAATAATACGAATCTTTATAGGATAGGACTATATAGAGGGTGTCGATCCCACAGGGAGATGAGTGTTCTTTGCTTTCTTTCTAACTAATCAAATTTATTTCTTAGTTTACAAGTAAGTGATTGAATTGATTGATTGATTGGTTGTCACGAATATAAAATAAAATTAAACTGAATTTAAACTAAAGAGATCAGAGAGAGAAAAGTCTTAGGGTTTTGATTTCACTATAACCTTCATACTATGGTTAACTGTTCAACTCTGAAGATTTAACAATTTATATTTCAAATGAATTGAACTCAATGACATTCATTCAATTTGGTTTAAAAGAAAGATGTTATATAAATTTCAGTTAAATATAACCTATCTGCGATTAGCATGGACTATCCACCTACCTACTTTAACTAATTTTGCAAACAATCTATCTTTCCAAAGCATAGACTATGAAAACATTCATTTATAAAAAATATTGGAACACTATTACATGATTTCCATCCTTATGTCCAGCAGGGCTCTGCCAGATACTGTCCAACAAGAATGGGGTGAGAATAGTCTAAGAACAGTTATATCTAAGATAAGGTTATAACTTTTCAGAAACTATTTAAAATTTTGAAATCCAATTGAGTTGTCTCAATTGCTCATAATTATGTAATCAGAAATATAATATATTAAAAATATCCTAGAGTTAAAATAATCAAACCATAGTACTTAGATCAGGTTACATCAGTGCCCTAAGAGAGGAATTAGATACTCATAACGATGTAGAATATCATCTGTGTTGTTGTCATCTTCATCGTCACGGACGACACTTCTCTTTTCAGGATCTTCACCTTCTAAGGTTCTGGAAACCCTAAAAGCCGCCACCACAATATCAGACTTCTAAATAATACGAGAAAAAAGAACGTCTTCTTTTAAGGCCTGTGACTTCTTTTATAGAAGAAATAAGGGTTTGGTGGGCTTTTAGGTCTTTTGGCCCATCTGGAATGAATTAAGACTTGGAAAAGAATAATTCTCGTACCTTGTAAATCCAATCTGTCATGGAAGGCTCAAGTTTAAGAAGTAGAGCTCGAGCTATTTGGCCCAAGCTTATGCTTTGGGAGCAAAGCTCGAGCTTTCTTGAAGTATGGCTCGAGATTTAAAGGATGGTGCTCGATCTTCACTTTTATACTTAATCAAATTTCTTTAACTATTTTCCGAAGCGTCTTTTCCATCAACACTTAGAATATTTTTGGGTCTTCTTCTTTTAACATTGCTCGATCCTAGCATTATAAGGCTCGAGCTTTTGGGGCTCAGGGCTCGAGCTCTGAATGACAGTGCTCGATCCCTTGAGGTCTGGCACGAGGCCCTGAGAGCTTGGCTTTCTTGAAATCAACTCTTCAAATTCTGATGCCTCATGCTCGAGCTTATAGGCAAAGGCCCGAGCACCCTTAGGTAAGGCTCGAACACCACTATGTAGGGCTCGAGCTCTGGAGGTACAAGGCTCGAGCTTTAATGCCTTGGTTGATTTTTCTTCTTTTTTTTTTTGCAGAGCTCGAGCCTCAAAACTTAGGCTCGAGCCTTGGTACTTGAATTATTCAAACCTTCACCATTTAAGCTCTCGGTTTGCTTTGAATGACCGGCAACA